CTCCGAGTAGCTTCATGTTCCTTGTAGTAAGGCCAGGAGCGCCCCTAATAGCGTCCTTGCTCCTAGTAGCGATGCCCTGTGCTCCGAGTAGCTTCATGTTCCTTGTAGTAAGGCCAGGAGCGCCCCTAGTAGCATCCTTGCTCCTAGCTTCTTGTGCCTTCTCTTCGAAATCTGAGTTTCACAAATGTGTTGGCTGAGGGCCAGGGCGTACCAGCAAGAGGCCGTGGACTTCTTCTTCAAGAATGCCAAGCAGGCCACAATTTGCGGGTAAGAGCCCTGGGTCGAATGACAAATGCTATGGGCTGTAGGGCTGTATGGGAAAAGGATAGCATTGCTAGGGTCAGTTTTGAGGAGCTTACCATGGCTCCGATGGGCCGCTTTTTGATGACACCGGCCGTGCATGCATCAATCATGCCTAAGCACGGTTTTTGAGCTTGCTGCTGTGCATGGTGTGTTGTATCAATGTGCCTCCAGTGCTTGTTCAAAGAAAGAGGTGTGAAGAAAGAAAAATGTGTCTCAGGTCCAAAATGAAAGCAAAAAGATCGGCATCAATTCGCCTAGTAGATCCTGCCCTGCCCACATATGTCGACATATGGCATATGTGCAAGCATGACAGCGATGAAACAACAACCGCGGAACTCCCGAACCCGCTCTGGAGCCTGCCAGTGTTAGGATGTTAGCGTAACCCGTGTCAGTGTGCACGACAACATGTCAGCACGACAGCCTGATAACACGTCACAGCCAGCATATAGAACATGTCAGCTCTCCGGAACCTGCTCCGGAACTTGCTCCAGAACCTGCTCGAGGACCTGCTGTGCCGGAACCTTGCTCCGCAAACTGCTCTGGAACTTGCTCCGATCTCCTCAGAAGTCTTTATCAGAAGTCTTTACTATGGCTGAAAGCCCCTAAGCCTCGCAGCCGGGGAAACACAAAAGTCTAAGAAGGTTTTGCCTTCCAAACCCAGCAGCTGGCTGACCACGACGAGGACATGGCCTTGCTAAGAAGACCTTAAAGGATCTTAAAGGCAGTGGGTGTGCTCAGGATGCTCGATGATTTTCAGAAAAATGCATGCACACACGCACAGTGGTATCTTATGTTTGTTTTTCGAATCCATCCATCTATTAAGCCCGGGTAAAAAAACGATTATATACAAATAGAAAGACCAATGGGCCAATGGGTTTGTTTGTCTACCTGTCCATCAACACATGCCCCACACAAATGCATTGAAAATTACAATTAATATAACTCCCTACTGGGCTGCCGATGAAGGGTCTTATGATTCATGTCTCTCTCAATCCAATCCAGGCTCCCGGAACCCTCGAACCCTCCCCAATTGCATAGTGTGCCCCGCTCGAACTCGAACTCGAACTCAAACTCGAACTGAAACAGTTACTGTATACTTATAGATGAACTCAACCCTGAAAGGATATATGGAAGGAACCGAACTCGAACTCGATCTCGAACTTGAACTGGAACAGTTAGAAGTCAACCCGGTGGACGAATAGAAGGAGTCGAACTCCAAAATCACAGTCGTCGATTCGAATTCGAACTCGAACTCGAACTAATGCTACGTTGTAATGGCTCCTTCCTATTCTAAATTTCACCCTCGAATGGCCAACAACAGGAATGCTGCGTTGTAATGGCTCCTTCCTGCTCTAAGTTTTACCCTCGGGTGGCCCACAAAAGGAATGCTACGTTGTAATGGCTCCTTCCTACTCTAAATTTTAGATTTTACCCTCGGGTGGCTCACAAAAGGCACGCTACGTTGCAATGGCTTCTTCCTTTTCTAAATTTTACCTTCGAACTGCCCACGAAAGGAGTGGTACGTTGCAATGGCTTCTTACGGATACTTTCAACGGGTTGATTGCTTTGTTCCCCAATAGCCATGCTATGGGGTCTTGCAAAACTAATAGGCGGACGGGCGCCGTTGGGTCACCGTCAGAGCTGGTGGGCGGATGGTGTCCCGGTCATGTTTTGATGGCGTCCGGGTCATGTGATGCTGGTGTCCCGGTGTCCCGATCATGTTTTGATTGTGACCCAATCATGTTGTGATGGTGTCCCGGTCCTGTTTTGATGGTGTCCCGGTCATGTTTTGATGGTGTCCCGGTCATGTTGTGATGGTGTCCCGGTCCTGTTTTGATGGTGTCCCGGTCATGGTGTCCCGGTCATGTTGTGATGGTGTCCCGATCATGTGATGGTGGCGCGGTCATGTTGTGATGGTGTCCCGATCATGTTTTGATTGTGTCCCAGTCATGTTGTGATGGTGTCCCGGTCGTGTTTTGATGGTGTCCCGGTCATGTTTTGATGGTGCCCCGGTCATGTTGTGATGGTGTCCCGGTCATGTTTTGATGGTGTCCCGGTCATGTTGTGATGGTGTCCCGGTCATGTTTTGATGGTGTCCTGGTCGTGTTTTGATGGTGTCCCGATCATGTGATGGTGGCGCGGTCATGTTGTGATGGTGTCCCGATCATGTTTTGATTGTGTCCCAGTCATGTTGTGATGGTGTCCCGGTCCTGTTTTGATGGTGTCCCGGTCATGTTGTGATGGTGTCCCGGTCATGTTTTGATGGTGTCCCGGTCGTGTTGTGACGGTGTCCCAGTCATGTTTTGATGGTGTCCCGGTCCTGTTGTGATGGTGTCCTGGTCATGTTTTGGCGGTGTGCCGGTCATGTTTTGATGGTGTCCGGGTCATGTGACGGTGTCCCGGTCATGTTGTGATGGTGTCCTGGTCATCTTGTGATGGTTTTCCCGTCATGTCATGTTGGTGTCCCGGTCACCTTGTGATGGTGTCCCGGTCATGTTGTGATTGTGTCCCAGTCATGTTGTGACGGTGTCCCAGTCATGTTGTGATGGTGTCTCGCTCATGTTGTGACGGTGTCCCGGTCATGTTTTGATGGTGTCCCGGTCATGTTGTGATGGTGTCCTGGTCATGTTTTGGCGGTGTGCCGGTTATGTTTTGATAGTGTCCCGGTCATGTTGTGATGGTGCCCCCGTCATGTCATGCTGGTGTCCCGGTCATGTTGTGATGGTGTCCCCGTCATGTCATGCTGGTGTTCCGGTCACGTTGTGATGGTGTCCCGGTTATGTTGTGATGGTGTCCCAATCATGTTGTAACGGTGTCTCGGTCATGTTTTGATGGTGCCCTAGTCATTTTGTGATGGTGTCCCGGTTATGTGATGATGGTGTCCAAGGAAGAGATGGCCGATGTGTTGAAAAACAGCAGCTGTTTCCAGATTTTTCTTTTTGTCCCGGTTTGTATCTTGCTATTGGGGTCTCCAGCTGGGCTAATTGCTAGCTTGGTTGGTTCCTGTTCTTCTTCTTTGTTATCTTTGTTGTGGGTCGTGGCGATTGCGGTTGTGGTTGTTGTCGTTGCTGTTGGTTCTCGTTGCTGTTGTTGTGGGTCGATCCGAACTCGAACACGAACTGCAGTTTCACCCCCCCCTTATAAGTCCCTTAGTCACCGATCCGAACTCGAACTCGAACTCGAACTGGTCCACCCCCGGCTCTATAATTGTTGTCGATCCGAACTCGGACTCGAACTCGAACTGGTCCACCCCCCCTCTCGCTCGATCCACGCAATCTCGCGCACCGAGCTCGAACCCGAACTCGAACTTGAACTCGAACTCGATCAGTTAGAACCACCTGGGGCACGGCCTGCCCAATTGACTCCTTCCCTTCTCACCCCAATACTCATTCCACGAATATCCACGAATCTTCCCCAATATTCGTCTCCTTTCATTTCCCTTTTCAGAATATCCTCCCCTCTCCACTGATTGGGGGGAGCCCCCTATTTGCTAGTCAGAAGCAGGCGTTACTTATATAAACCAAATAAACATTTCCTGTTTGCGTCAGGTGCTCTGGAACAGTCATTTCCGCTTTGTTTCAGGCTGCCGAAGGGCATGGCCTTCGCTTTCAGATGGCGTGTGGCACTGGCAAAACCTTCACCTACGCTTTGATCATCAGAAGAAGCATGTCCAAAGTTGCCCCCAAAGACCTAAGAATGCAGTGAATGTAGTAAATGTAGTGTCTTGTGCTGAGAGAGTGGCTTGCCATTTTGCACCTTTCCACTAGTGAGTTGGTTACCATGTAGTGAGTGTGGTTGGTGTGTGGGCGATGAGGCTTGGTGCCAGTTAGTTTGAAAGGAGAGATCTCACATTCGCTTCCATTGCTCAGCTTGCTCTTTTGAGAGCTGCCTTGTCTCCTGTCTGTGAAGTCCTCTGACCTCATGCGCACCAATAGAAACTTGATTCTGGTAGTTTCTGCGTTTCTCACTACGAGCATTCCCGCGCACAAAGCAAAAGGAAATAGCTTTTTCAGCCAGTTTGGATCTGATAATGCGATTGCAAAGTAAGAATTCCAGAAATGACCGATCATGACACGCCCTTTGAGCAGGGTCAGGGAGGGAGAGGGAGAGGGAGAGAGGGAGAGGGAGAGAGGGAGAGGGAGAGAGGGAGAGGGAGAGGGAGAGGGACAGGAAGAGGGAGAGAGACCTCAGAGAGAGGAAGACCTCTATTGACCTCTTCGAGACATGTCCACGTATTCCTTTCAAACCCGCTCATGACAAATAATACAAGCTTGGGTAAGAATGTTCTGGAAGGCCCCTTCTTTGCAATCATTTTCCGTTTTGGAATCCTCCTCTCGCAAAGTGGGCGCTGTTGAAATCAGCGGCGACTGGTGCAGGCAGGATCACGCAGGAATGGGGCAGGCTGTCCCAGGCCCTGACCGTTTTGGCGGGTGGAAATGTTCCCATGGCTCGCATTGCCAGTGCTGGCTGCTGTTTGTTTGGATTTACGCTCCAAGATTTCAAGAATCTCTCGCCAGTAGCTATATGAGTTGGTCTTGCGCTCTCTTTCCTCGCTACGAGGTTTGACAATCCGGGCCTATGGTTAGAGATTTGTAGAACTGTTGCTTGGTCTTCAACCAGGCTCTTTCCTTGTCGTGACGGTGGAAGCTTACTTGCCTCTTCCTGATGCTTTCTCTTCCTACGTTAGGAAACTGAAACCTTCCTCATTGCCAAAGTCTGGTGGCTGTTACCCAAAGTTGCCTTACTATTATTCACAGGAATCATAGCGTTTCCCTCTCTGATTTTTAATGTTCTGACTGACCTGCCATTGCAGACCTGCTAAGTTATAGTAGACAGAAAATATAAACGGTGGATTGGCTCCGACTCCAATATCTCTGAGCTTCGTGTGTCTCGGGCTGGACGGTGGGCCAGTTGGCGTGAAGATTCCGGACCATCACGTTGCAGCACATGTTTTTCGCACCCGGTGACATCCCTTCATCTCTTTGAGTTTGGGTTTCGGAAGGTCTCAAGTGCAAATTTTTGCGTGCTTCTTGTTGTCCCAAGTATGCATGTAATGTATTATATATATATAATTATAACATTATATATATGTGGTACTCGTATTGTTATTATCATTGTGCATTACATATTATGCATTGCACATCTCGAAACAGTGCATCCCGCAATTTGGATTGATAGCTTGTTTAACCCAATGATATGCATTTAACAACTGTTCTTTAGCACCGGGGTTTCAAGCTTTATCTTTCAAGCAGATTTGCCTCACATGTTCAAGATGTTGCCTAAAGTTTGCGTGAATTCTAGCTCAGGAGATATGGCAGAGCCACTCGTATTCATTGGGCTGTTGCAGGTTTGTCGTTTTGCACGGTTTTGCCTGCAAACATTTGCCGCAGTCGGAATCTAGCATCAAGGGCTGGAGGTGAAGTGGCAAGGCATTTCTCGCTTCAAAGATTCGCTTTGTTTCGTGGAAGCCTTTGTCTTACCAGTTTTAGGTAGCCATCTCTTGTTGTGCAGTGTCAATTTGAGCGCATTGCTCTGTGCATAAGGCTCAGGCTTTGCAAGCTGCTCAAACGCTGTTATCCTCCTTCTGGTTATCATGCAGGTGTTTCAAGAAGACATGTCTTTGAATTCCAGTGGATGGTTCTCAGAGCAGAGGATGCCAGAACGCAATGGGAAACAAACATGTCCAATTTGATTTGGTGCATCATGTTGTTGTAGTGATGTTCATCAACTTAGAACCACCTGTCACCTAGTGATAGATATATATATATATTTGTATATAGCACGATGTTTTATGGTGTTATCCAATTGCTGCATTCTTCATCGGAGATCCGACTCTAGAGTCCAGAGTCCGGAATCTACTATATATACATATACAGTATACATATATAGAGAGAGACTCCATGAACGGAATCATATCGTGATAAGTGTGCACAAACACTGGGATCTGTTTCAACTGATGGCCACGATGGCCAAGGCACCCTGGTGGTCACCACGTGATCTTCGTGCCATGGCGAGATTTGGCCAGGCCTCAACAAGCTTTGTTGAGTGACAGCATTGTCACAGGGATCAGTGACCCCCTGCTATGATTGGTTGTGTAGACCTGACCATGTTGCAGAGGACTTTGAGGTGGACCGTGACTCCCAAATCCAATAGCCTTGGCCGACCGCATGGAGAGACTTTGCATGTCACAAATAGGGCCTGACCAGCGACACTACAGATGTTGGCGCTTGCTTGGTTGATATGCCCCTTTGAGTGACGCTCAGCGAGAGTTGCCAAGGTACTGTAGATTGTTTACTTTGACCCACTCGACCTTACTCTGATGTTTAATAATGTGGTCGCTCTTCTGGGTTTATTATTGCCTGGTCCAAAAGAAAGCGATCAGGATCAGAATCAGGAAGACATTTCTAGCCCGTGTGCTAGACTGCAGCAGGCAGACAGCAGCAGAACTGGAACGACTTGGCGTGAAATCCTGCATCATTGGAGATGGCTGCACCGCTTCTTGAATGCCAAGCTGGGCTGGGAGTTTTCATGTCCTACGTTTGCAAACAAGAAGTGGCAAAGAGCACCCGTAGAATGCCGAAGTAACGTCTACTGTATGTGCATGCAATGTCGCATTGGGGTGTGTGAATTGACTGCCCTGAAGATCCAAAACATCGCAGAGATGTTGCATGTCCAATAATTCCACACAGTCCTTTTGTCAATCTGGTTCCTGAGATTGAGATCCTAGGTTGGAATCAGTTAGTTGTTGGGCGTCGTGCGTGAGTGTCCGGAAGTGTCCTTGGTAAAAGCTTATTGGGCAGAATGCTTTCGGAGTGCATGTGATGAGTGTGGGATTCGTGCGCGATGCAAATGGTAGGTTTCTTGTCATTGTAGATTATATATAGTGCACGGTGTTTAGAATGCTTCGTTCGTGCTTTGATGCCTAAAGGAAGTCGTTGGAATGCGCCGTGACAGCAGGATTTTGCTCTAAGTTTCAACATTCCTGGCTAGGGCAAGGAGTCAAGAACCTCAGAATAATAGCATTTCGAAGCGGCCGTAAAGAGCTGAAATGTCATGTCAGTTTACGTGGGAGGCCTTGGGCCTTGCCGACCTTGCGTGTTTTGTGTGTTCGGAGCGCGGGTCAGATTTCATTCACGGTGGCTGAGAGGCGAGTGATGGCAACAAGGGTCGGTCTGGTCATGAGCGGCATCTGAAGCCCATCGGCAACAACAGGTTCAAGATAGTGAACCGCTTGCCCGGTGCTGCGCAACAGAGCAGTTAACCCAGCCTGGCTCTTTCAGGTTTGTTCCTGATTTGGTATATCAGGTCAGTGACCATGGTGGTGCTGGAGGTGGTGGAACATCGACCTGCAATGTGGCTCCTGGATATTGAGAACAAGCAGATTTTTTTGAGGAGGGTGCATATCATGCCGGCATATGTCGCCATTCACTTGGAATGGTCACAAGGCATAAACTTGTGCAAGCTTTGAGCCACGGAAACATCAGACGACAGACAGAAATGCCGCGAAGCTGATGAGAAGATCATGTGCTTTTGGGTGACAGGGTGGGATGGTGTCACCCAGAGGTCTTAAAGGTCTTAAAGATGCATCCTTGATTTGATGTGTTCTGCAGGTATGCGCGTGTGTGTATGTCAGCGCAAATGTCATGGTTGGGCTATCCAAGTATGTCCACTGCATGTCCGTTGTTCAGATGTGCTGCTGACCATTGCCCAGCTGCGATTGTACTAGTGTGTCACGCGTGCTTGCTCCTAGTAGCGATGCCAGGAGCCCCTAGTAGCTTCTTGTTCCTAGTAGTACGGCCAGGAGCCCCTTGTAGCGTCCTTTTGAAAAGAGCCAGCTCTCAGCTCTTGTTTGCTCAAGACCTGCAGTCAGACTTTTTATTCCCTTGTTGGCGGGGCATTTCGCAGGAACCGGGCAGCGTTAGGAATGGTGGTGGTGACAGTAGCTGTGTTGGAAGTGCTATAGCCCATGGCCCACGGCTAAAAATAAAGCTCTAAAATGCGTAAAAATGTTAACAGACTGCGGAATTGGGTTACTGTAACATACATGCGTTAAAATTCTGCGTTAAAACCTTCAATCCCCAACAGCAGAATGCAGTTGGGTGTCAATCTCTGGGAGCTGGGGGCGTTGCAGAGTTTGTCACCGGCGCCCGAACTCCAGAACTGGGTGCTGTTGCTTGGTACCATCTTGGAAGCCTCTGTGTTCAGAATGCTGCCCTGACCCTGTCAGGTGATGGCTGTGGGTTTTGTGTGGCAGCATGAGGATGCAGTTGGGTTTCAGTTTCTCGGGCTATCCCAGCTGGGAACAAGCCTGCCGCCTAGGCAAAACCGAAAACGAGGAGGAACCTCAGAAACATCCTTACGCTGGCACATTTATATACACAAATTTCCAATCTGCAGCAGGCTGCAGCAGGACCTACCCAAGAAAACCGAGAGCAAGGAGGAACCCATGAGACATTTGTGCACTTGCACTTCTAAACACATTTTGCAACCCCAGAAGGAGGCACCTAGCAAAACAGAAGCAAGGTGGACATTTGGGCACTTGTACGCCTGTACGCCTACATAAATCTCCAGCTCCAGAAGGACCTGCCTATCAAAGCCGAAAACACAATTTGACATTTCAGCCTTTTCTCTCGGTCAACAGTGACATGTGCCACAAAGGTGCAGTAGGTAGAAAGCTCCCATGCACCGCACCCAAAAGACCAGCAATGTCCATCTGGTCAATGCCATGCCGTTGCCGAACGTACTCGGCATCCAACTATGCACTGCAAGCACGTTTTTCAAAGTGACATGACAACAACCATCAATTGCAATACACTCCTATCCATGCGGTCAGCATGCAGCTGCTGCCTCCGTTGGGCTCTGTGGATTTCTTTCCTTCAACTCGCTGCATGCCTATGGTGTCGGCATGAAAGGGAAATCTGTGGAAAACTAAGGGCTACTACACCGGATGGAGGTGCAGGACGAGGGAAAGTCACAAAATCCAAGCACCCCGAAAGACAAAGCTGTTAGCAAGACGATAGGAGCCCAAAGTCAAGGATGAGTAAGGACCAAATCCTGGTCTGAGAGAAAAGACAGAATTCCGCCCGCACCGAATCGTGCTGAGGCCTTAAACTGCAACTAGCGCTTTCATCACTATATAGCTTTAGCTAGGGAGAGGCGGGCCATTTTCGTTTGGGAATGAACATCGACATGCATATCCTGCATCATGAGGAGAGGCAGTGGGAGAAAACATTGACAAATACAAGGTTTTCGCATATCATTTGTGCCTGACTGTATTTCTCATTGTCGTATCATTTGCATCACCACGTCCACGAAAGGCAAACAAACGACTCCTCACTGTGCCATATGCAACAACGGGTTGCAATTGTATAGTCAATTATGGTAGCACATGCATCAGCTGGTTGGAAGGGCATGCGTAAAGTGCATGCAAGTTAGTATTATTTCGACCTGCTGCAAAGTGTACAAGTTCAACGGGGTCGTAAATGTCTCCAACAATGCTTGCAGTGCAGAATGCCGGTAAGACATAACTAAACAAATCATCACTGGGGTCCAAAAATCCAGTGATTATTATGGATACCTTCTTTTACCGTCTCTCTCTCTCTCTCTGAAAGCCACTGGTGCAGGCGGTTGTCGTCGTGAAGCGACCTGAATACTAGACCAAAATCCACCAGAAAAGCAGGGGGCAAGAGATGGTGAGAATGGAACACCTATCCAATTCGCGATGCCAGGAGCCCCTAGTAGCTTCTTGCTCCTAGTAGTAAGGCCAGGAGCCTCTAGTAGCGATGCCAGGAGCCCCTAAGCCCTAGTAGCTTCTTGCTCCTAGTAGTACGGGCAGCAGCTCTTGAGAACTCACTTGCGAAACCTGGTGAACCGAAAGAGAACCGATGATTGAGTGCAAAACTCGTACATCAAGCTCTCTGTCTCTTGTCGGGGCATCAGTTGTCAGCTTGGTAGGTTCAAAGCCACAGGATGGATTTTTCATGATTTTTCCAATGACTGCAATTGCACAGGCCTGGCACAGTGAAGCCCCCAGAGAGGTAGGAACTTCCGCCTTACGCGTGAGCCCCTTTAGCAACACGGCGGTCGAGAAGAACTGAACGTGTCCGATGACCTGCTGCTAAGATGTGTTTTTTCAATTTTCAACTCACGCCCTTCCATTCCCAAGACTTTTCAACTGTCCATCCAGGCACAACAGCAAAACCATCCAAAATCACGCTCTCAAGTTCTCAAGGCCCTTTACAGCAGGCTCCAACCAGAATTTCTCACCTCCTTCTGCTTGATGACACTTGCGACACTTCCCAAATGCAAATCCAGGAAGCTGACCAAGCCATCATAGTAGATGGCACTGGCCTTTGTGCATCTCCCATGGGAATTTGCTGCACCAAGGCGGTCGACGCTTTTGATGGCTCCAACATTGCTTGGTGAAGGGCAGGCGCCTCCCCCATGTCCAAGAGGGCCTCCGCCACTGACACAGCTGTAAGGGGGTCAAGAAATCTTTTGGAGGAGCATCTCTTGTAAAAGTGCTCTCGGATTTGAGGGTTACTTCGAGCCAAGCATAGCTGCAGCACCAAGACCGTCGAAGGACTGGCAATTTGTTTGAGCAAGCTTTCGATTGCTGCCATCCTCGGAAAGATCTTGTATATAGCTGCTTTATGACCTGAGGCAATGTTGGGAGATGTTCTGACGACCAGCCACTTGAGCCTGCTGCTCATCTACTTCCTGCTCCTCGGCCTCCTCTACAGGCGTTTCTGGACCTCGTTTGCGGAGTGAGATTGAAGCCGTAGCGAGATCTGCATCGTCGAAGCGGACCAGCATGTCCAGCTCTACCAAAGAAGCCACCGATGAAGCCAAATGCGAGGCACAATGTTTGAAGTCAAGTCCACCAGGGCGACTCCTACACTGAAATCTCATCTGATTAATCTGAGGACCTTGTCCTGAACCAAACAAAGATGCCGCTGGGATCTTAAGAGTCAAATGAGGTCCGAGCAAATCTATCAGTTCTACCTGGTCACCGTCCCTTTTGCAAGCTAAGACTCTCGAAAGCAAGAAAAAGGTCTCAAAAGCCAGGCATGATGTCTTTGTATCTGACAAACCGACCACCAAGAGATCCAGCCTCTAAGGTTTGAATCCGGCCTCTGCCACCTCTGCTTTCAATGGAGCTAGAAAAACCAAAAAGATATATAACTCCTGGTGGTGCAAGGGAAACCCTGCCTTAGTCTTTGAAGGGCAAGCGCGGCTAAGAGGACTTGATCCCCAAGCGTCCAACAATCTTCAAGTAGCACTGGAGGAAACCAACTCTGGCACTTTGCTTGGCAACTCGATGTTTGGGGTGCTATTTGGACTTGAAGATCTGCCCTGAATAGTGGCTTTTTGCCCAACAGACTGCACGCCAAGAACGGCGAAGCCCCTCCTCTGAAGACAGTGACCCCAACATCAGAGACAAACGAGGAGCAAGCAACTCAACAGGCAAATCAGGGAAACTCGTTTCACAAACGAGGCTGTTTTCTGAACCCGGAAAGAAGCTTAGGAATCGGAATCACCTTCATTCAATGCTTGAGCGCGAAGAACATACTTGAGCCCTTGTATAACATTGTACAACTATACGTACACACACATACATATATATTATATAATGTAGGGACAGTGGAAGTACTGTAGCGGAAACAGGAGAAACAAGAGTGGAGGCAGCTCTTCACATCCCTCCCGATCAGAAGTTCCAGGGATCGGGTTCTGAACTCCAAGTGCACCAGAAACCTTCCACCAAGGAATTGGACTGGAGTGCCCCAGTTATCGCTACCTGGAATGAAGATGTAAACTGTTTTGTGCCACTTCAAATGCAGCCCTGCACGGTATGATTCGACTGCGATTGCAGAGACTTTCTATCTTAAAGAGCATGGCCCAGGTTTGCGTGTATGCTTCTGCGTATCGGCTTCGTGGGAACACCTTTCGGATCAAAATTGTTGACGAGGCCGGTTGCCAAGTGGATCCAAGAATGCTCAACATACAATGACTTACGGTATGTGTTGCACTTCGTAGCTTGCTAGTTTGCTTGGTTGATTTGTCGCCTCCTAATCATGTACTGAACATTATATATTTACTGGACTTACTGGACATTATGTACTATATACGCGCAAAGAGGCCTCTAGCATCGATGTGGCATCACTAAAATTGATGGAATACTGTGATACTTCGCAGGCACATCATTTGGAGATGAAGGGAGATGCAGGTGCTACCCTCAACACGGCATGCATTCGACCAGCAAGGCACCAGTCGTGGTGGAAAGTTGCCATGAGAGCATGGCATGAGAGAGGATGTGTGAGTCCTTGCCATCAAAACATTACACCTTGTTTGTGAGATTTTCCAGACTGATGCCAAGGCTTTGCCAGGGACATCATGCATGGGGTGTCCAGCGAACTAGCTGCACACTTCACTGCAACTTTCTACAATACCACGGGTGTCCATTTCAGATATGACTTTGACCGGGCGGTTGATGAGGGCTTGGCCCCCAGAACCTTGAGCAGAGCGCAGAGAACAAGTCAGCCACAGTGTCCGCATCGGAGGGCGGTGGCCACCGTGGCCTGCCACAAGTTCGACGAGCTACTAGTAGCGTCCTTGCTCCTACTGGTAAGGCCTAGTAGCATCTTGTTCCTAGTAGTAATGCCAGGAGCTACTAGCAGCGTCCTTGCTACTGTGTAGCCTCAGGTCATGTGTGTGACTTCCTGTTGACGGTGCCGTTCGGCGGTCCGCGCAAGGATGCTTGGTGTCCAACAAAAGGAATGGTTTGTTGGCAGGGGCAGGGAGGGACGGGTGAAGGGAAATGCTTTCTTATGAGTGCTAGGCAGCACTAGCTACTGCTGCCGCATTCACACCCAGAGTTCAGGCTTGCACAAACCGCACATCACGTCCAATGTATATACATTTCAAAGGGAACATGCGGCATTAATGAAGTATGTGGGAGGATGGTCGCGTAGACAGCCCCACGGTGGGGTTTAAAGGTTGACGATCTTGACTGGTGACTGGTGAAACCTTTTCAGAGAACACCGCCACTAGGGTGGAGGCCATTGCTGTTAGGTTGGAGGCTGACCCAGTGTCCCACCAGTGGTCCAGTACTGTAGTATCAGGGGGCCGCTTGGTTGCCAGGCACAGTGTTCGACCAGTGGGTGTGCCCCACCCAAAATAACACCAACTTCAATAAGGAATAGACATGTTGACTGGGACTTGCTGAACGTAACGTGCTTTTGCAATGCTTTGTTGCTACTAAGCTGTCGTCGTTGCCGGGGTCATAACACAGGTAGTTACACAGACAAACACAATCACACACTTATGGATATGCGTACTGACTTGACAGCGGTGCCACACGCCAGCCTAAGAAACCCAAATCCTGAAAGGTCCAGGAAAGTCCTAAAGAGCCTGGGGGTCTTC